GAATCATCGTGCTTCGAAGATATGATTTCAAGAGCTTCAATTTTAAAAAATTTCTTTCCGCGTAAGTAACCAGTACCGTATTAGGCTAATGCCCCTTCAAACATACTGGCCTAGGCTAAGTCCCATCTGCCACATATATATTGGGTTCTTCTATTGTCTCAGACTATACCATCGTAAGTTATCTCATTTGAGGGAGTACATCGTGCTCTATTAGAGCTGAGTTTGCACCAACCCGAACTAGATGTTATCCATTTTATCATATTGTAATTTATTAGATAAACGTATCCATTTGTTTTCATATTATATAATAAGTATGGTTTAGGATGGATTTGTTTCTTAAGCAATACAGATCAATTCTAAATATTTTGGACTAATGGATTCTCTCTGGGCGTACGTTAGCAGGACTAATGGATCTCCCAGATTGCTCCGTCGTTGCTGATTTTCTTTCATCTTCTTGCGTTTCTAGTTATTTCTGGTTTGGTATCGGTGGGTTCTATGGATGCTACAGCTTCAAATTTGGATTGGAGGAAGCTGTTTGGGGGAATGCCTAATCAATCCCTAAATTACTTCCTGCCTGAGATTACGGAGGGTATCTCTATTGTTAAACCTCCAACCGCCGTGATTGAAGAAGGAATTACAGAGTGGAGTCATGCAGTGGTGGATAAATTCATCGGAGCGGCCCCCAATTTTGGTTCAATACAAAGAATAGTTGAAATACTTTGGGGGAAGACTTCGACGGTTAAGGTAAGTTTGGCTGGCCCTAATCTCTATGTGTTTTTCCTTTTCGAATGCGTCTATTAGAGACTGGGTGCTTGACAACGGGCCTTGGCATGTTCAAAATAAACCACTGTTGTTGAGGAAGTGGGAGCCAAACCTACAAAAGCTTGATTTAGACCTTAGAAGTATTCCTATTTGGGTGCAAATGTATAACGTGCCTTTAGAGCTCTACTCCAGGGTTGGACTCAGTTATATTGCGAGTGTTGTGGGTCGTCCTCTCTACATGGACTCCATTACTGCAACTAAGGAAAGACTTGAATATGCTAAAGTCTGAATGGAAATAGGGATTGATGCAGTAATTCCTGAGGCTATAAATGTTGCTTTAAGTGATGGTTCTGTTGTTAGGATTCGTGTGTATGTGCCTTGGTTGCCTAAGATCTGCTCTCACTGTAGGATTTTTGGGCACCATCTTAGTGCTTGTACTGAGAATCAAGCTCCTTTGAAGTGTAAGGAAACTCAAGTGTGGAGGAGGAAAGTTGTTAATGACTCCTCTGTAATCAATGATAAGGAGAAATAGTTGGAGAGCACTGAGGGGTCTGATTTGGGTCAGGTTATTTCTTCTGGTTGCCCTGCTGCAGCTATCACTGAGGGAAGTACTAAGGGACTGGAGCTGCAGGTAGGCACTGCGGAGGAGCTGACTGTGGAGGCCTTGCAAGAATGCAGTGAAGATATTTCCAAAGAAATGGTTGATCCTGTTAAGGTTGATGTTAAAGGGGTAGAGCAGATAGCTAATGCTGGTGTGGTGAGGATGGATAAACCAAAAACATCCCTTAATCAACATGGTGGTGAGTTTCCCTCCTTACAGGACTCAATGAACAAGAAGAAGTATAAGGGGAGGAAGAAAGATAATTCTGGTTCTACCAGTAAATTGGAATAATTGACTGAAGTGGGAGGGTTAGAAGGCACTAGGAAGCCTAGAGCTGCTGCTTTGGGTCTTACCTTACTTCTTAATGAGATCAAAGCTAAGAAAATGATATGATTGAGAAGGTTGTTGGAAGTGGAGCTCTTCCTAACCATGCTTCATGATTTACTCTTTTTGGAATGTAAGGGGTATCAACAATACCCTTAAGCAAGGAAAGGTGGTGAAGAGGTTAGAGAATATTGGAGTTGATGTGGCTTGTTTTATGGAAACCAGAGTCAGAAGCACAAATAAGTCTAAGTTGTTTTCAGGCATTACTGATGAGTGGCATAGTGCTGTAAATTATGAGTACATTGATAGTGGCAGATTATGGATCCTGTGGAAGAGAAGTTTGTCATTTTCAGTGTTAAGGAGCTGTGATCAAGCCCTTTCCATTATAGGAGATGTGGCTGGTCACAGGGTTGTTATTACTGCAGTATATGGGAGTAATAACAGCCAGCAGAGGAGAGATCTTTGGGAGCATTTGAGAACTTTGGAGAGTGAGATTGGTTCTATTCCTTGGGTGATTGGAGGTGACTTTAATGTCATTGTTAAGGCCCAGGAAAGCTCTGATTATTTTGTTTTAGGTTCACATGTCTCACTTGACATGGAGGAGTTTCAAGGGTGCATAGATGACTTGGAGTTGCAAGACCACCCTTTTGTGGGGCCTACTTTTACATGGTCAAATAAGCAGGAGGGGTCATACCTGGCCAGGAAATTGGATAGGATCATGATTAATGCTCAGTGGTTGCTGGAATTTCCAGATTCTTTTACAGAATATAAGGCTCCTGGTGTATCAGACCATTGCCTTGGAATTCTTTGGACACAGAAGGGTATTCAGGCTAACAGGCCAAAGCCCTTCAAGTTCTTCAATTGTTAGACTGCAAATGTGAATTATTTGAGCAGTGTGAGGGATTCTTGGTTGGGCAATAGTGGGGGTAATGCTTTGCAAGTGTTGTTTAGCAAGTTGAAGAGACTGAAACCAGTATTAAAGGAGTTGAACAAGCAGCATTATTCTGACATTTCTGCTAGGGTAATAGCTAAGAGGGCTGAACTGGAGCATGTTCAGATTTCTAACCTAGCTAGGGCAAATCAGTGTGGAATTGCAGAGGAAAGAAGAATCCAGTCTGATCTGGTTAGTCTAGAAATTGCTGAATTGGAATTTTATAGGCAGAAAGCCAAGTTGCACTGGTTGCAGGAAGGTGACCTAAATACAAAATTCTTCCATCAGAAAGTGGAGGCTCACAAGAAGAAGAACTTACTTGTTTGTAGAACTTACTGCAGATATAGTTCACTCATACTGCAGATACTGAAATTCTCTAACGAGAATCAATTTATCATCCTTTACAAACATATGAGTATCATGATAATTAGATCTGGCAACAAATCAAAACAGATACTGAAAAAGTTGTAGATAATTATAACTGTTACTGTTAGAATCAGCCGTGTATAAGTATTGTTTGTTTATGAATCTTTTACAATAAGGATAAGTCTTAGGAGTTTATTTATAAACCATTGTAATCTCCTAAATTCAATAATGAGATTTCTCTTTCATTACCTCTTTTATTCTTTCCTTCTTCTTCAGTCGATTTCTTTAGATTATAAAAGTTACAAAAAAAAAGTAAGTTCTACAAAAGGGTTCTCTAATTCACATTAGTTATCAAATAAGTTACTGTTAGAATCAGCCGTGTATAAGTATTGTTTGTTTATGAATCTTTTGATGGAATGGCTGCAGTTTTGTTAGAGTTTTATAGCAAACTTATTGGAGTAGCTGACCCCTTGGTTCAAGGATGTCAGATTGAAGGGTTGAGGGACCTTCTGAATTATTCTTTGCCTGCTGGAGCTGACAGAGTCCTTGTGGGGGAGATTACAGACATGGAAATTAAAGAAGCCTTGCTCAGACAAGGAAAAGATAAAAGCCCTGGGCCTAATGGATATACCTCCTGGTTTTTCAAGACTACTTGGGGAATTATTGGTAATGACTTCCTAAGTGCTGTGAGGTATTTCTTTCATTCTTCTTACCTCTTACCAGCTTTTAATGCAATAACCATTGCCCTTGTGCCAAAATCATTGAATGCTTGTAAGGCAAGTGAATTTAGGCCCATATCCTGCTGCTCTGTTGTCTATAAGACTATTACTAGAATCTTGGTCACGAGACTTGCCCAGTACTTCCCTGACATGATCTCAGCTAGTCAGTCAGCTTTTGTAAAGGGCAGAAGCATTACTGATAACACTTTATTAGCTCAGGAGATTGTTAAAGGATACTCTAGGAAAAATCTTTCCCCTAGGTGTGCAATCAAGATTGATCTGTATAAAGCATTTGATTCGATTAATTGGGGTTTTATGCTTAATGTTCTTGAAGCTATTGGTCTGCCTGCTTTATTTTGTGATTGGATTAAAGCTTGTGTAACAACCCCAAGCTACTAATTGCTTTGAATAGTAGCTTAATGGGGTATTTCAGAGGTGCAAGGGGGTTAGGCAAGGTGACCCACTGTCTCCTTACTTTTTTGTTATGGTCATGAATGTGCTTTCCTGTTTGCTAGACGCTGCAGCTAGAAATGGAATTTTCAAATACCATCATAGGTGCAAAAGAATTTCTCTCACCCATCTATGCTTTACTGATGACTTGTTGCTGTTTTGTTATGGATCTATGGATTCTGTGTTGGGTGTTGTAAGTGTCCTAGATAAATTTTATGAGATGTATGGACTAAGGTTAAATGCTTCTAAGACTGAGATTTATAGTTGTGGATTGAATGGTGGTGATTTAGAGCAGATTCAGTGTGCAACTGGCTTCCGTATTGGCCAACTCCGTATTAGGTATCTAGGGGTGCCCCTTATAACTCGTAAGCTCACGGGGAAAGATTGTATTGCACTTGTGGTGAGAATTAAGGAGAAGTTGAGGCAATGGTCAAGTAGGAAATTAAGTTTTGGTGGAATGCTGCAGCTAATTAAAATAATCTTGTTCAGTATCTTTAGCTACTGGAGCAGGCAACTTGTCCTACCAAAAGGAGTGATTCGGGACATTGAAAAGTTATGCATGCGCTTCTTTTTGAAAGGTAATGACGTCTCAGCTAGGGGGGCTAGGGTTGGTTGGAATCAAATTTGTTCACCTAGATTTGAAGGAGGCTTAAGGCTATTGAGTCTGGCTGATTGGAACAAGACCTGTTGTTTGTTGCTAGTTAAGAACATTCTTGCTGATGCGGGCTCTTTGTGGATCGCCTGGATTAAGGCCTATTGTTTGAAGCATGAGGACTATTAGAGTGTGGGGAATAAATCCCATTTCAACTGGATACTTAGGAAATTGATTAAATTGCGTGAAGAGGCCATGGTTCTGTTCCCAGATCCTGTAAGCTGGACACAGGTCAGGGGTCGATGGGTGTGGGATAGAATCCGGGAAAGAAAGAATAGAGTGGAATGTCATCGTCTTATCTGGTTTCCTGCTCATGTCCCAAAATTTTCTCTGATCACATGGATTGCAATCCTTGATTGGCTGCCTACCAAGGACAGACTTGCTCGGTTTGGAGTGGTGACTGACCTTGCTTGTGGGTTGTGTGGGACTGGTTTAGAGTCCAGGAACCATTTATTCTTGGAATGCTCTTACTCGAGAGCAGTCTGGGATTCTGTTTTGCACGTTTGTAGGCTGCATCATCAAGGATTAAGCTGGGATGATCTTATTTGCTGGATGACTAGCAATTGGAAGGGTAAGTCGCTGCTAGTTCATGTTCTGAAACTAGCATGGACTGGATTTGTCTATTTCTTTTGGGAAGAACATAACTATCTTGTTTTTAGGGGATTGTCGCGTTCGACAGATGCTATTGTAAATATTATAAAACTGGTTGTTAGAATTAAGTTGTACATGCATGATATGAATAGATTGGATAAGGTAAATATACAACTTTGTAGTGATTGGGGACTCATATAACAATTTGTAATATGTACTTTGTAGCAGCTTGCTGCTTTCTTGTGGATGAATAGATTGAATTATCCAAAAAAAGTATGGTTTAGGATAATAATAAGTTATTATTACCTTTCATAAGTTTTAAACTGACTGTATTTTAAAATTTTATTTTAAACTAGGGTTATTTTAATATACTTGTTTAGGTCATTTTGGATTTAAACCGGTTTCAGGTTAAATCACTTTTTAATTAAATGCTTAAATTTAAATTAATTTTGAGTTGAATCAATTTAGGTATTGATTGAACAAGTTTAAGATATTATTTTAATATTTAATTATTTATTTTATATAAAAAAGTTCCCAATCATAAAATATATATTATTAAGATGATATATAAAATTAATATAATTAAACCCAACCATTAAAATATCAATAGTGAAAACGAGTATAATTTTTTTTGAGAGTGTATACAGTTTGTGTTTTCGTTTTTTTATATAAATTCTAAAATCTATTCCTAATCATACTTGGATGAAATGACAAAAGATAATTCTAAGAGAAAGAAGAAGAACACTCATAATAGATCTAGAACTTATAACTTAAAAGAATATAAAAAAATTAAAAATGAACAACTTCATCAATCGATCAAAAATATTTGCTAAGATTATAAAGTTTGTTAACTCACACTTATCCTTTTCTATTGTTATTTAGTACTTCTATTATATGTTATGGTCTTCAAGGAATATATCAGTTAAGAAAGATGCTTATACCTGATTATTATAAACCGAAAGTAACATTATCTTTATTTGTTATTCTTTTCTTTTTGGGTTATTGTTTAAAATATATCAGTTAAGAAATATGATATCAAATGTATTATTATTTTTATTTTTAAAAATTTTAAATATATTTATAAGTATATTTAATATTATTTACAAAATTATTTTTTACCAATAACATATTAAATAATATTTTTTGTTTCATACTCTTACTCAATAGTTAGAGGGAAAGTTGGTAATTAGTTATGAGAACCATTTGATGTTCATTTTCAAATAAATAAATAAAATTTTAAACACACATAATATTTAATTTTTATATCCATATTTACATATTTTTAAATACCAATACTATTAAATATGAATTGTTTAAAAAATAAAAAATGTGAAAACTTATTTTTATTTAGTAGGGGTCAACCCTTGTTTAACAAATAAAGCAATTTATACAAATGAATGAATTGGAGATATTATTGGAATTTATTGTTTCCCGGAATCTTATCAAAGAATATAGAATCCTAAAATGAAAACAGCCAAGGAGGGAATAATTATATTAGTCGTATCTCCCTGCGAAGCTTATGATTTGGATGAAGAAACCAAGGGTTTATTCATTTTCGGATTTAAAAATTTCTCCCGTCTTGAGTTTACTTCTAAGATTCCTCCACAAATTGGAATTTTGCAAGTTTAGATCGTCGGCTGGATAGGATCTGGCAAATTTGGACATGATATGAGAAAAGCCTACAACACCACATCAAAGTAAAAAAAAAGTCAAATTTTATATATAATAAATTACTACCAAAATAAAATATAAATACTAATTTAAACCAAGATCAAACATAAAAATAATATATTGATTCAACAAGATATATATGTCTGTCTGTATTAAAATTTATCTCAACTATGGTGTAAACAGAAGAAAACATTTTATGAAACATCTTTATGATAACTTTATCAATAAATAAATAAGAGTAAAATGATAAGGATTTGTACATGAATCATAAATTTTATATTCAATCTTTTTATTTATTTATTTATTATTTTAAAGATTATATAAAAATAAAATAATTATTATAATAATATTTATTACCTTTCTTACATGCTCTTAACTTCTAGGAACCAGAACTAACATTATTATCTAATAGCAGCCAAGGCAAACAATAATCGATACTAGCTTTATATCGATTTTCCAGTAAAAAAATTGCAAGCAAGCAACTACTCTCCACAAATGGCAGTGTTGAAGAAACAGAGACCAAGGAATGTAAGAATCGAAGTGAAGACAGCAAACGAAGGATATATATATATGCAGTTATTAACATGACAAATTAGCAATCGTTTCACTCCTTACCTTGACCTTCGGTGCCGTTTGCGTCCTCGTCATTCGCATCCGTGCTGTTATTTTCTGAAGCCTTTGTATATTTCTGCCGGACTTCGGTATTCTGACCCTCACTAGAGGACTTCCCATCATTTGGCCCATCGGGGTTACTGATCTTTGCCTGTTTTGTTCAATAAGTCAAATTAACAATCTAAGTAAATCATACCAGCTTCAACTTCAAAAGTAAATCATTATGAACTTAGTAAGCATGCTTAATAACAAGTACTTTTTTACAGCAATTTAATTTTTTTTTTAAAAAGAGATTTTAATTTCTAACTTTTTAAGTACACTTACTAAATCTCAAACTCTACCAAAGTACAGGGACCATCATCATTTTTGAAGTATAAAATACAGGTTAAATGAAAAGGACAGATATTTCTCTAGATTGATTGTTTCTTGGTTGATATGTTACTCAGGTCCTTTATTTATTTATTTGTCAGTAAACCTGTGTCCAATATAATTTCGGACATGAATATGGAGATTTATCTTTCAAATGTATGATTTTTCTAATAAAAACTGAACATAATTCCATCAGACTCATATTCGTGTGAATTTCGAGCAACATATCTTAATTGTGCCAATTGTTAAGCCTGCACATCAGTTTAATAAAGCAGAATAATCATCTAATAAATCCCACAACTTATAAGAACATAAAAGTGCGAAAATCAACCTTGATCCTGTCACGCCAGTTAAGTACAAGTGGTTGAACAAATAAATCCATCGAGCTGGAGAGTATCTCTTGTTGGAGCTCTTGATCCTTGCGTGGTGGTAAATCAGGCTGAGATGATCTGATTGTTGCGGAAGACGGCTATCGGATAGAGCAAAATCGCAACTGATAATTTGAAAAAATAAATATGAAGATAAAGAAAACACAATTTATGTGGAAAACCCCTAAATAATATTGAGTAAAAACTACGGGCAACGGTAGAATAATGTCACTATAAGAAAATAAGAATTACAACTTCTCTTGATCTACCAAGGAGAAAACAATGATAATTCTCTCTTGATAAAAAGGAGAAAACAACTCTCAAGAAAACTCTCTAAATTCTCTAGTATTGGGAGAAATCTAGAATGATTTGGGATGGTTTTGAAGCTAAATGAGCTAGGGTATTTATTGTTGAAGCTTAAGGACTAATTTATAAATACCCTAAATTACAATGACCAAATGTGATTATCCCATTATCCAAAATTCAACTAAAAATCAATGCTAACTTTCGGTGCCCTTAAAAGTGTTTGACAATTTTAATTTTTTTTATATATAACTTTCCACCGAAAGTTATCTGGATTTTCAACAATCTCACACTTGAAGATTTGATTGGAACAATCATATATTCACACCATTCTTTCTACCTTGTACCTTCATGTTGCTTATATTTCTATCAGGCCATAAGAGGATCGACACCAGGTAAATTTATTAGCATTGATTGCCTTCGTCATGAAATCTGCTATGTTGTCTTTGGTATGGATCTTCCGCATATCTACCGTCCCTTTTTCCACCTTTTCACGAATGAAATGGTATTGAACTCGTATGTGCTTTGTCCTTGAATGAAATATTGGATTCCTTGCTAGATGCAAGGCGCTTTGACTGTCACAAAACAGAGAGACATACTCTTGATTGTGCCCAAGATCCTCCAATAGCATCTTCAACCAAATTGATTCTTTACTGGCTTGTGTCGCTGCTACATATTCTGCTTCTGTTGTTGACGTAGCCACAACTGACCATTGATTAGTAAGTTTGATCCTCCGTAACATAATACAACATTTGAGGTCCCTTTGATGTATCTCAGGATCCTCTTCACTGTATTCCAATGCTCTTTGCCTGGATTCGCCATGTACCGACTAACCACTCCCACTGCTTGCGCAATGTCTGGTCTTGTGCATATCATAGGGAACATTAAACTTCCCACTGCCGATGCATACGACACTCGAGACATCTTCATCCTCTCTTCTTCACTGCTAGGACTCATACTAGAGGATAATTTGAAGTTAATAGGAAGAGGAGTAGAAATTGGCTTACAATCTTGCATGTTGAATTGTGACAAGATCTTCTTCAAGTAATTCTTTTGTGAAAGCCAAATCTTCCTATTACTTCTGTCTCGGTGAATTTGCATCCCTAGAATCTTTTTTTTTTATCCCAAGTCCTTCATTTCAAATTCCCTAGCCATTTGTGCCTTTAATTCTTCAATATGATCTTTGTTTGGTCCTGCAACCAACATGTCATCCACATACAACAGTAATATAACAAAATCGTTATCACTAGACCTCTTGAAATAAGCACAAGGGTTTGCATTAAGTTTGTTGTATCCAAGACACATAATGAAGGAATCAAATCTCTTATACCAACACCTCGACGCCTGCTTTAGACCTTACAGAGATTTGTTCAACCTGCAAACCAAGTTCTTTTATTCTTCTTCAAAACCTTCAGGCTGGAGCATATAAATCTCTTCTTCAAGATTCCATGAAGAAAAGTTGTTTTAACATCTAGCTGCTCTAGATGTAAGTTCAATGTAGCACACATTGCCAAACTACTCGAATTGTTGTTAGTAGAACCACAGGAGAAAATATTTCATTGAAAACAATACCTTCTTTTTGAGCATATCCTTTGACCATCAGTCTTGCATGATACCTCTCCACTTGATTGTCACCATTTCGTTTTCTTTTGAAGACCCATTTATTACCAATTGACTTCCTTCCTTGTGGTAGTGTCACAAGGTCTCATGTATTATTTTTATGAATGACTTTGATTTCTTCTTGCATCGCCATCATCCACAGTAAAACATCTGAGTTGTTTATTACCTCCTGGTATGTTGATGGCTCACCATCCTTTGTTAAAAGGCATTATGCAATATTACCTTCTATAACATAATCTGAGTGCCAATTAGGACGTCTTCTCACACGATCTGATTGACGAGTTGTTGGAGCTTCATAACTCTCTGGTTCT